GGACTTTCTAAAGATTAAATTCATGTGTGTATCAAAAACTTTTTCCAACAGGGTAAAAAGAAAACCTACAGACTGGGAACAAACATTTGGCAATACCATCTCAGACAAAAATCTTATAACAAAAGTTTACAGAAATACCCCTGGGCCTCCACAAGAAATAGACTGATAACCCAATTGCAAAATGGCCAAAAGACATGGAAAGAAATTTCTCAGAGGAAGAGATTAGAATGGCAAACAGACACATGAAGAAATGCTCCAATAACTAACAATAAGAGAGATGAGACTCAAAAACCACAATAAGATAACATCTCACTCCAGCAACAGTGGCAACATTTTACAGGGCAGAAAGTAATAAATGTTGGAGAGGATGTGGCAAGAAAAGAACTCTTATACATTATTGGTAAGACTGTAAAATGGTGCAACCATTCTGGAAGGCAGTTTGGCACTTCCTCAAAAAAGTTGAACATACAAATTCCATATGACTTAGGTATTCCACTACTTGGAATATACCCTGAGAAAATGAGAACTGAGCTTTGTAAAGCAATGTTCACAGCAGCATCATTCACCATTACAAGAACATGGAAACAACCCAAATGTCCAACTGCAAATGAATGGATTGAGAAATTATGGTACATTCACACAATAGAATACTATGCAGCACACAGGAGCAATGATTTTGTAAATTATTACCTAACTTGAGAAGGCCTGGAGAGTATTATGCTGAGTGAACTTAGTCACACAAGGATAAATATTGTATAAAACCATTATTGTAGAGTGAGTATAAGGATCCAAGAAGGGTGGGAGAAGTTGGAAGCAGAGAGATGAGGATGTACAGGGGAAGGGAGGATTAACCATGGGGTTGTACAAATTGTTGAGTGGGGGGATGAGGAAAATTGAAAGAATTTGTTCTTGAAAACAATGTATTCAAAATTTGTAAATAAAGTAGTAGAAAATTTAAAAAAAAAGAGAGTGGGTGATGTATAAAGTCAAGAGAAATCAATCCTAGTAAAAGAACAAAAGTGTAAAATTAAAAAAATAATAATATATTACATGCAAGGGAGCTCTGGTGGCCTAGTGGCAAGAAGCAGCACTGTAATCCCAAAGGCTCACAGTTCGAATCCACCAGATGCTCTGCTGGAGAAGGAGGGGCGATCTCCTCTTGTGCCAGTCAGATCCGTACACAACAATACAGATGGGCTTAGAGAGGCTCAAAGTGATTAAAAGATGGGCATATAGAAATTCAGAGTGAGTAGAAGTCACACAGTGACTGAATCTAGATTCAAAACAAGAGGGTTTAATTTTAAAATCTGTTTCTAACAATCACTCCAGAGTTGTCTGAAGTGTAACACAGACCTCTCCACATGATTCCACCTTAACCTCCTTTGTTCTCTCTCACCAGCTCCAAACGTGAGGCCTCCAAAGCATCCCAGGAGATGCTCTCAGTCAATGTTTGACTATTCCAGCAAACCAGGGACTTTCCCAGGCCTGCTCTAACTCTCCCATGGCAGACCAGTGGTCCCTCCTAAAAGGGTCCTGGGCCTTTGATGTCCAGGCCTGTTCCAGATTACAGGCTACCTCCAGCCCCCCTAGGGCCACCATGGCAGGGAGCTCATTAACAGATCCTTCTTCTGCTTTAATGTTTGGAAAAGAAGGCTCTGATTTCCTACAGCCCACCCTGTTCCCATATGAATTTCAAAAGGAGGCCTGAATGCTCTCATCATCTCAGAAATAGCTCTAGGGTAGCACTGGTTATATGGGACCTGGACACATTGAAGGGCACTAACAGCTGCCCCAAATATGGCTGTGAAGGACCCAGATGCTTGATGTATGATCCCGATGGTTCCTATGTGGTTTCTCAAGAAGGGCTGTCCTTGGGCAGGGGCATGGGGAGGCACTCTTCTCCATCCTACACTTTCACCCCCTTTGAACTGAAGATGTTAAAGAATAAACAAATTTGTAAAAAAGCAGAGGGATGAGGATGTGCAGGGTGAGGGGAGATTAATCAGGGGGTTGTACATTTGATGGGGGGGGGTGAGGGAAATGGAAAGAATCTGTTCTGGAAAACAAGGTATTTGAATTTTGTAAATAAATTAGTATAATTTTTTTAAGAAAACACCAAATTACAGTGCTGGACTATACTGAAGTCAGACCTGATCTAAAGTTCTGCTCTGCTAACTAGCAGCTTCTGCTAGGATGGTTAGACAACCTCTCTAATGGCTAGAGCTCTAAGGGAACCCTAGTGGTAGAATCTGTAGGGAGCTGCACTGCTAACCCAAAGGTCACTCCACCTCTCCAGTGGTTCCAATTCATCAGAAGGTCCAAGAGATAAGTAATCTCTTCCCATGTGACTTATAGTCTCAGAAATCTACTGAATTGATCCCACTCACCAGCAAAGAGTGAGTGAGTTTCTTTATCAGTAAAAATGAGAATGACAGTATCTACTCAGTGATCACTACTTATAACAAATTATGGCTAAATAATAGTGAGAAGAAAGGGAAACCCAGAACACTCAAATGTACTTATATGAAATCTATACCTAGCCCAAGAAGCTGTTTTCTTAAAAAGCAAAGGAACACTGCTCGATTTAAAATCAAGGAAGGGATTAGGGATACATCCTTTCTCCATACCTATTCCACCTGGGTGCTGAGCAAATTATTCATGAAGGTAGATTCTATGAAGAGGACTGTGGCATCAGGATGGAAGAAAGAATCATCAACAACCTGTATTATGCAGAAGACATGACCTTGCTTGCTGAAAATGAAGACTTGTCACATTTGCTGCAGAAAATCAACTCTTGCTACAGCCTTCAATATGGATTACATCTCAACATCAAGAAAACAAACTAGGCATGCACTTAAAAAAAATAAAAGCAGCAGCAAGAACAGATATATGCACACTCATGCTGGTAGCAGGATTACAACAGCAAAGATATGGAAACAACACAAGTGCTTACCAATAAACAAAGAGGTAGAGAAACAATGGTACATGCCCACAATGGAGTATGATGCAACACTGGAAAGATGAATTTGTGAAATACTACACAACATCAATGAGTCTAGAGGACATTATCCTAAGTAAAACAAGTCAGTCACAAAGAGAACAATATTGTTTAAGACCAATGTTTTTAAAAACTTGACAAAGGTATATATATAGAGAGAAATAATAGAATATGTTTATCAGAAAGGGGAAGAAAGGAGAAGTGAAAAACTGATTGACAGACATGGATATTTATTAGGATAGATGAAGGAAAGGTCAATGTGGAATGAATGGACAATCAGACATTGTATGTACTGTAAGCATGTTATGGAATAAAATATATATGAATGATTGAAAAATGCAAAAAACCAAAACAAAGGTCCTCATCACTGGGCCAATGGGCAACATCATGATAAATGGAGTAGGGATTGAAGTTGTCAATGATTTCATCTTGCTTGGATCAATAATCAACACCCTTGGTACCAGTAGTCTGCTGTCAGAGACATCTCCAAAATACTGACAAACCATTGATGCCAGTTTGAAGACTAAGGTGAACCTGATTCAGGCCATGGTCTTTTCAATCACTTACTATGCATCTGATAACTGTGCAATGAATAAGGATGACTGAAGAATTGATGCCTTTGAGTTGTGGTGTTGGAAAAGAGTACTGAATATCCCACGGGCTGCCAAAAGAACAAGCATATATATTTTTGGGAAACTGCAGTCAGAGGGCTCCTTGGAGGCAAAGATGGCAAATTCACTGGAGAGGAACATTGTACCTGGTAAGGTGGAGGCTCAGTGAAAGAAAGAAAGATCCCCAATGAGGTGGATTTACACAGTTACTATAGCAATGTGCTCAATTTCAGAGTTTATGAGGATGGCACAGAATAGGACAGGTTTCAGGTCTGTTGTTCACAGAGTCACTATGAGTCATACTTGACTCAATGACAGCTAACAACTCACTGATTATTGGAAAGGTTAAGGGAAGTAATGCTTGGAAAGGGTTTGATTCCCCTGAGCTCTCTAGAAATACCAGTCTTAATCCACCAGCTGTTCCTAGAAGGAAAGATGGGCAAGCTTCATCTCCTCTCATTGCAATCTCCAGACTCAGAAACCAGCAGAGCGTCGCTCTGAGTCAGAAGTGACTCAACTGCAGTGAGTTGGGTTTTGAGTCATTCTCAGAAGGAGGCATTGGTGCTCAGCATTAGAATTCTCACCTTCTTTGTAGGAAACTCATCTTTGACTCCTGACCAATGCTTCTCAATGGCAGTCATCACAATCTGTTAATAGAAGCTTGTATTTTGCTCTGATGCTTAACAGGTTTCAATGCAGTTTCCCGACTAGAATGGACTAAGATGAAACGCTGAGCCTCTTACCGCCAAAAATCATTCAATGAAACTTTCTAGACAAACGTGAATGAGCTAGGACTGATCATAGAAATGATGCAAAACCAAGCAGCCTTTTGTTCTGCTGTGAATCAAGTCCCTCTGGGAAGGGTGCAGAATCGTAGACAGCTAATAACAATTACCAGTAACTGAATTACATACTGATGATTTATCTGAGAATGTTAAGCATTCCTTCATTCAATTGTTGATTCCTTCATATGCATGTGACAGACACTCTGTAGGCAATGCACAATGCATGACTCATCATGAAGGCTTAGTACACACTAGCTATCATCAACTTTATCACCTAACAAGAAATGTGCTAAAGAGGCCTATGTCTGGTAATGGCACTTCAAGGTGAGCTTGATGAAATGGCCACTCTGTAAAGTGAGTCATCATCAGAAAGTTTCCTTTATTTGGCTTTCCAGGATTCCATGCCCAAGATGCAGCCTCAAAAATACAAGGTGTTACTGCCACAACCATATGAGGGTGAGGGACCAGGGTCAAGATGGTAGTGTGAAAGACTAGGATTTACAGCTCCAAGCATGTGTCATGTATCATAACATTAAATCCCATAACAAACTTTGTAGTCTCACTGAAAGTTAAACACTCACCAGCTTATTGTCTCTTAAGTCTTACCTTGTCAGTCAGGCTGCTGTCGCAGGCCGGCTGTGCCAGAAGCAGCCGTACCATGTCTGTGTTGCCATGGTGACAGGCTAGCATGAGGGCTGATGATCCTTCATGGTCCTGCAGGTTGATGTCCGCCTGGCAGCTGAGCAGCGCCTGGACCATGTCCTCCCTGTCGTGGCTCACTCCCAGCATCAGTGCAGTCTGGCCTCCCTGCACACAGAGTCACAGAGTTGGATCCCTCTCTGACCTGGATGTTCCTGGTGAAGATGCTCAAGGAAATGGCTATTAATCTGAATTTCCCATGACCTTGGTATGAGGCATCCTTCTCTGCCTGCAAAGTTCCAGTCTTCTTCTAAGACACCAGTAAAGCGCAAGTTCCTCCAAAGCCTTCCCTCTCTTCCCAGACACAATTTTCAACTCAGCCCAGCACTTAACCACTTGTTATTGCAACTTGCAAACCCCTATCTTTCTCATAAACAGTAAAATTTTTGACAGCAGGGACCAGAAGTCTTTTTTCCTCTCTTTTCCAAGGTCTAGGATGGAGTGCATCTAGTAGTTGTTAGGTACCGTCTAGTCAGAACTGACTCAGCTGACCCTCCAGTGGGTTGTTAGAGGCCGTAAATTGCATGAGAGGAGATTGCCCATCTCTCTCCTGCAGAGAAGCTGGTGGATTCTAACTGTATGCTTCTGAGTTGGCAGGGCAACTCCTTACTGCTAGACCAGCAGAGCTCCCTGTGGACACGCTAGTAAGTGTTAAATGAAAGACTGGATGCTCCACCACGTAGCTTTTTACTGTATGCGCATTTCTGACTTGCTCCTTATGGAGTCTGTTCTGAATGTTTCTTGTATTTTCACATGACAGAAGGAAAACTGATGCTTTTGAGTTGTGGTGTTGAGTGAGAGTACTGAATAACCCATGGACCACTAAAAAACCCCCAAGCAGATATGTTTTAAGGTGCAGCCAGATTGCTCCTCAGAAGCAAGGGTGGGGAAGCTTCATCTCACACACTTCGGGCATGTTGCTAGGAGAGGCTATTCCTTGGAGAAGGACATCATGGTGGGAAATGTGGAGGGACTACTAGGGAGAGGAAGACTCTCAACCAGGTGGATTGACACAGTGATTACAGCAATGGGTTCGAGTGTGTCAGACATTGTGAGGTTGACAGGAAAGGACAGGGTTAGATCTATTGTCCATAGGTTGCTTTGAGTTGTATGTGATTCAATGGCATCTAATAATAATAATAGTAATAATAAATATTTTCAAAATTATGTCGACTAGTTAGTGATACCGAGAGCCATCCTGCCTCAACAACCTATCTGTTTGCCTTTCTTTGTGATCATTTCTAATCTGTAGCCATTGGCATAGCAATGAATTCAACATCTGAAAGTTGAATCAGAGTTCTATTTCTGCTGTTTGCTAGTGAGTGAACCCTGGCTCGTGCACAAGAGTAGCCTTCTTGAATGTTGTCTATTCTTTGTTTACAAATACAATAATGATTTTACAGGGCTTTTGTGGAAAAAAATGAAATACGTATATGTAGTACTACAGAATGACTAGGGATGACAAAAAAAGAATCAATGTCTCTGAGTTGCGGTGCTGGAGAAGAGTCTTAAACATACAATGGACTGCCAAGTAAACAAATAGGTCTGTCTTTGAGAGGGTGAAACCAAGTTTCCCCTTGGAGGCTATGATTTTGAAGCTCCATCTCACATATTTTGGGCATGTGGCCAGGAGAGACCAGTCCTTGGAGAAGGACATCATGCTCAGAAGGGTGGAGGGACAGTGCAGGAGAGGAAGACCCCAGATGAGATGGATTGAGACAGTAACTGAAGCAATGGGGGGTTGGTGTGTCAGAATTAATGAGACTGGCTCAGGACAGGGGAGGGTTCAGAGCTGCCATACATAGGGTCTCTACGGGTCACAGGTGACTTGATGGCACATAACAACAGCAAGTCCTTATACAGTAGGAGTTTTCCTGATTACAAACTGACCCTCATTCTTCTCAGACTTTCCTGTATTGACACAGCCTTCTCACTCAGTCTTGTTACATTTCGCTCTCAGTTCTCTTGGAATCTAGGCTAGTGAATTTTGTCTCAATGACTGGACATCAGCTCTGTAAAATTGTAAAAGAGGTGTACAAGATCTTTCCGATCTTTTGTAGTTCTGAGCACTATGTCTGATACATTTAAAGGGCTGAAGAAGACATGTTTGCTGATGTGTTAACTGATTACAGCTCCAATCTGCAGTCTCTTATGGATTAAGCTTCCTGCCTAGAATGCTGGAGTAGAGAAAAGAAAGGGAATTGGAATCAGACAAATCCTAACTCTACCACTCATTAGCTTTGCAAATGTGGGCAAATGAACCTCTGTGACTTTTTCTGTTTTAATAAATGATTAATAATAATAATAGCTATGCTAGGGTTACACGAGAAGGATGGGCAATCTCCTCCTGTGAGATTCACTGCCTCTGAAAACTTGGTGGAGAGTCAGCTATGGGTTGGTTCTGACTTGATGGTACACAGCAATTCAACAGGATGTTAGGGTTAGCTCTGGTGACATTCTCTGTAGGGTTGTGCAGCTAACTCAAAGAAGATACTATTCTAGGGGTTCAAATCCACCAGCAGCTCTTTGGGACAATGATGGGCAATATCCTCCCACACAATTTACTGCTTTGGAAACCCAATGCAGGGTCAGTTATGAATTTGTTCCAATTCAGTAACAATGAGATTTCTGGGTGGTTGAGAGAACGGAATGAGTTCATACAAATAGGAACTGTGGAGGACAGAACTAAGTGTTTTTACCAGTGCTAAATAAGTTAGATATAAGGATCAGTCTGAGGATTAGAGATATATGATAAACACTTGACCTACCATGGGTGCTCAATATATGGGGCTGTATAACTAAGTGTCCTTGACTCTCCATTTCTTTGGGGCCCAACCAGATCTTTCCAGTATGCCTGCTTACTTTTTGGCCTGTTTTTACTCAGTTCAGAAGTAATAGCTATTTACTAGACTAACCAGACCACTAGCTTTTCATCCAGACCCTCTTTCCATGTGTTATTAAGGCCAGATGATAAATCCAGATTGTGGTATCTGTCCTCCTGCCTAACTCCAGGCCTCTTCCTTCCTGGCCTCTCTTCTGGTCCAGTTCAATACAATTTAATTCAATCTTCATTTACAGAGTGCTACTTCATACCAGGCATTTCACTGGTCTTGGAGACACACAGAGAAATAAGTAGTTTATCCCCAGAAAACTGCTAGACTTCTGTTCACTTTCCTAGAACTTGGTACATTCACTTCTCCTCTTGGGTACAAGGCCTTTGTGGTAGTTGGAGGGAGCAATGGTACCTACACACATCTGCCACGCGTCTGGTGACCTGAGACGAGTCCCTTACCCTCCTAGAGCATCGCTTTCCTCCTCTGTAAAAAGAGGGGCTTGGTTTTCATCACTGACAAACATCCTTGCTTGTAAGAGGGCTAGCTAAGGGAAAATTAGCATATTTATAGAAAACATAATTATGAAAATTAAAACAGCTTTATTGAGACCATTAGGGTAGGAGTTGCAATGGGTGAAAAGATGCTACAAATACCAGATTCGCAGCAGTAGCAGCTTTTGGTTAGGAGAAGTGTGCAATGTGACTTTGCCATCAAGTTAGGCTACCATCTCCTGTCACACTGGGGGTTGGGAGATTGGTATTATTGAGGAACAAGGGAGTTACTTATATTATTAGAGACAATGTTCCATAAGTAGCTTGCCATTCTACATGTATTAACTGTTGTTTAGTTCTTGTCTGTCTTTTTATAATACTTCTACAGAGAACAGCCTTAAAAAACAAAGATGGCGTCTCTCTCCAGATAAGGGCAGACATACTTTTTGTCCATTATAAGGAATTCAGGATCCTTAAATTCACTGTTCCTCTCCTTGGTACAATCTACTTTCAGTGCAGTTATTATCTGGTCCACCCCACAGCATTATGTGAGCACTGGTATTTGGTACAAATGCTATTACTGTGGCTACTACTATAAGTAATAAACTGTCTTTTGTTTCTTTTTTATAATGATAAGAAAAATGACCTTTTATTAAAGCCTACATTCAACTTAATTAGGCTCACATTTTCATTTTTAATTCTTGGTTCCTTCTTCCCCATGATATTCAATATATTCTTTAAAAATGAGTGTGATATCCTCCTACCCATACTCACCCTTCTACTTCCACCCTTTGCCCCCTTGGTAGGGTGGAAATCATGGAGTTGCACAATTTTGGAGGGTGGAGGGAGGAGGTAGAGGAAATGGGAAAGAACTGACAAGGCCATGAAGAAATAGGGTAATAGTACAAATAGTCCAATGGTAGTAAACTTTTTTTTTTTAAGATGAGCTGCCAGCAGGTTTATTTTGCCCAGGATTGCAGATCTGTTCTTTCCTATTGAAAGCTGACTTGTTGAATTTGTATTTATTTTTTTCACAATGTATATGAATGATTGTTCCCCCCCTCCATTCATTCATTGTTGCATTTTTCACCCCTCCTAACCCTCCCGCCTAGTACACTACCCTCTTGGAAAAGTAAAAGAAAAAATTCTTTCATTGTTTTACAATCCCTCCCCCAGGTCCACTCCACCATGCAACATTGACTCCGGACACTCGTTATGATAAAAATACCTAGTCACATATCCCTTTTAAACAGTTTTCTCCCTCATCTGATTCAATGCGGTATACATTATTTAACCCCACTTTCTCAATCTCCCCCCAACCCCAATGTCAGTCTTGTTGTATAACAGAGGCAGCATGCAGTATTTGTCTTTTTGTGACTGAGATATTTCACTCAGAATAATTTCCTCCAAGGTCACCCATTTTGAATAATATTGCATGAGTTCCTTGTGTTTCAATGCAGTGTAGTATTCCATTGTGTGAATATACCACAATTTCTTTATCCATTTGTTTGTTGATGGGCACTTAGGTTGTTTCCAACTCCTTGTTATTGTGAACAAAGCCACAATAAACATGGGTGTGCATATATCTGCTTGGATGTCAGTTATGGTCTCTTTGGGGTATATTCCCAGTAGTGGAACTGCTGGGTCAAATGGTATTTCTATTTGCAACTTTTTGAGAAAGTGCCATACTGCCTTCCAGAGTAGATGCACCATTTAACATTTCCACCAACAGTGAATAAGGATTCCAGTTTCTCCATAACCTCGCCAGCATTTGTTGCTTGCTGTTCTGTTAAATTTTTCTGTTCTGACTAGGGTGAGATGATATCTCAGTTGTTTTGATTTGCATTTCTCTTAGAGCTAGGGATTTTGAAGATTTCTTCATGTGTTTGTTAGCCATCTGAATGTATTCTTTGGTGAAGGGTCTGTTCATATCCTGTGCCCATTTTTCAATTGGATTATTTACATTTATCTTGTTGTGGTGCCTTTGTTTCTGACATAGGATCTTTGTATCTTCTCCCTACAGCCAGGCTAATTTACGTGCATGAAGGTAAAGTCCAATCTCAGACCCTCCACAGATGTTGACAGTCTGCCTGACAGTAGAGATCATATGTATGGTGATGCTCACTCATTCATTGCTGTCCAGTTAGAACCAACTTATAGCTTACTCTACAGTGGTTTTTGAGGCTTTACATTGACATTTAGGTTGATAGCACAACTCCCCACAGGCATCACCAGGGTTCCCATTATGGGGAGAAAGAAGGCTAAATGCATTCCATCACTTCCTACATAGAGATATATAAGTGCCTTCTTAAAGAGTTTCTCTTGTTCCATATGGAGCCTTGTCTAACTCAAAGCTCTACTGGATAAGGACTAGGCCCTTAGTCTGTTTGCAAGTACACGGGTCCAGAGGTTGTACAAGACATCCTAACATTCTGTATTTTTCCCTGTATCTTTTGGAGATAGACATAGGTTCCCTATAAGGGATCCTTGGCCAAGTCAACTGGTAGAACCCACATGTCATTTTTCCTCAGCTATTACTTTTGTATCACCTTAGGGCTCTACTGGTTCATGAGAATAGCTTTTTGTAGCCTGGCCCACAACTACTCCTGGTAACTGAGGTATTGTGTGGCTGGAATAGTTTTGCACTGGCTGGTCGAGAGGTAAAATGCACAAGTGCCTAGAGCTCTGGCTAGCTAAAGAAACCATCATCATCATCATCATCAAGTGATGGAAGCCCATCACTGAGGATTCTGGTGACTACTCAGACCCCAGCAGACCCCACATATAATTCTAAGTGGAAGCTGAGGTCTGAGAAATGGATATTCCTGGCACTGCTCAGCAGAAGCTCATGTCTGCCCTGTCCACTCTTCTCCATTATGTTGAGAACTCGTGGCTTTGTCAAAGGGCTTTGGGGATAGAAGGATTTGATAGAGAAAGAACAACAGAAGGGAGACTTTGTTTAAAAAATCAGACCTCCAGAGAACATCCTGCCTGGTTAAATGCCCACGGGCCATAGACCAAGTTGGGTGACCTTTAGGGACCTTCACAGAACACCCAAATATCAAATGCCTTCTCAAGAAGCTGACTGTGGGAATGTCTGGCTGAGAGTCCAGATGGAATGTGCCATTTAGACTTGGACATAGAGTAGATGTGCACTGACCTCTGCTCCATTTTGTCTGGGTCTCAGGGACTTTTGAGGAAGACCATATGTTCAACTTTAGAAAGATGTCATCTGGAGGCCCCAGGCTTCTTGGGCTAAAAACATCTACATAAAATCTACACAGAATTTCTCATTCCAATGGCAGAATATGCAGGGAATTGTCTCTGTGTTTATTACAAATATTGTGCTCACACCTCCTACCTGAGAAGCTTGAATGTTCACATTTCCTTCTCTTAGGAGCTTCCAGACAACAGCCATGTCTTCACTGGTCTCCGCAGAAGCCAAGGGGGTGATCATGACAGCAGTATAGCCAGCCTTGTTCTGAAGATCCACACTGCAGATACCTGTTAGAGGAGCAATGAGCACAGGAAACAGGAATAATGTCCAAGATACCAGAAGCCAGACTCTATTTCGGCCAATTTGACAGGACACAGAAATAATGTCCAAGATACCAGAAGCCAGACTCTATTTTGGCCAATTTGACAGGGCACTGCCTGCTGTGTTAAAATGTCACACACAGAAGAGATGAATCCTTTGCACAGTGGTAGAATCATTGTTTCACAATTCAGCAGCCCTTAAAATTGACTTTAGCATACCAATCAATGTTCATTGTAACATGATTCAAAATAGACAATGGGTGAAAACACCTCAAGTGTCCCTCAATAGATGAATGATAAAATGTAGCACATCCAATAAGGAATTATTCTTATTCAGCCACAAAGAGAAAGAAGTGCTGATATGTGTCACAATCTGAATCAACCTCAAAAACATTATGCTGAATTAAATAAGACAGGCAAAAAAGGCACATACTGAGTGATCCCACATACATGAAATAACTAGAACAGGCAAAGAGAGTTCTGGTGGTGCATCCCATAGGGAGCTGTGTTGCTAACCCAAAAGCAGCACCTCTCTACCTGTCTGATTCCACCAACAGAGTCACAGGAGAAAGATGGGCAATCTCTGTCCATGTTTACTTACAGCATCTGAAAATTTGCTAAAAGGTCAGCTATGAGTCAGTCCCAACTTGACAACAATGAGCTTTTTTTTTTAAGTGGTACAAATAGTTTATCTACCAAACTGCTAAAGATTGGCAGTTATAGTCATCTAGTGACACGTTGGAAGAAGGATCTAGCAATCTACTTCCAAAAAACTCAGCCACTGAAAATCCTGTGGAGCACAATTCTACTCTAACACACACTTAAAGTCACCATGAGTCTGGGTTGACTGGATATCAGGATGCCAGTGGATACAGAACACTCAGTCTGGCTCCTTCAGTATCACTATCTTCCCCATAGCCTCTTTGCTGCTTTGCTAGGAAGATAACAGCTAGTCCTAAGCATAGCATTATAAATCTGTCTTGTGAAAAGAAGGAGGGATTTGTATTAACACTGGAGGTGCAGTGGTAAAGAGCTTAGTCATTAACCAAAAGGTCCATAGTTAGAATCCACCAGTGGCTCCATGGGAGAAAGGTGTGGCAGTCTGCTTCCATAAAGAGTATAGCCTTAGAAACCCTATGGGTCTCTATGAGATTGTGAAGTTTATATTTCAACATGACTTTTCCTGGCTATTATTTGATTTTGCTATGTAGATGGGTGGAAATATGTGAATGAGGCATGTTATCACCTATTCACAAGAAGATTTATTTACCATTCTACAAGGGGACAGGCCAGTCTCAACAACCTATAAGGGGGATGGCTAGTTTTGCTATTGAATTGAGCATGACAACAGTGAGAGGCAGACATATCTTCTGGTCCCACTGAGGAGAAAGCAGGACAATGTAGGATTTCCTTCCTGCTCCAGCTATACCTACAGCATCAATACCTGTAGCCAAACTGGAGACCTGACGTGAGATGGGATCATGAAAAGAGAGAGCCAATATTTGCAGGACTGAGAACGTTGTTGGACAACTAGGAGTAAGAGGCCAATATGAGCAAGACTGAGAACTTGGGAACACTGGCCTGAAGACACACAGCTTGAGGCTGAGATGTTTGCATGGACATCTCAGGAGCTGTCTTGTCTGTATTCTGTTATTAGTCCAGATTATAATATTTTTACTTCCCCAATACGGTTCTGAGTGGTTTGTGAGCTATTACATTGGATTTTGGACCCTGCAAAGCTGTAAGGTTGGTGTTGAGATGAGTTATAAGAGGTATGGGAGAATGGGGGACATGTCTGACCTTATGGGAGTTGGGTTTGTGTTATTGATGCTATGGACATAGACAGTTTTCTCTTTGTGAGGTTGGTAGAAGTCAGATATGCCCATCCCCATGTGACCTTTGCTTCTTTTACAGATACCTGCAGAATTTCTGTGAGACAGCAAGGGGTATAAATGTATTAATAACTTAAAAAAATACTTATTTTGTACTTGATGTGTGAATAAGTCTCGGCTTGCTAGTTCTCTTTCATCCCTTCAGAAACAAGAGGTTCAACTTCCCACTAGGGGCTCAGGGAAGGAGCAGAAGACTCATGACTTTTGCAGCAGATGCTGTAGAGCAGCCGAAAAGGAGCAAAACCATTCTCACCAGGAGGTGAGAGGAGAAAGGTTCTTGACTGAGTGTGAGTTGGTCACCCACTGTGCTTTCCTCACTTTTCAATGGCATCCTAGCAAAAAAAAGACAGTGAAAATGCAATATCTAGTAGCATTTCTTTTTGTTGTATATGGGGTTGCCATGAGTTGGAGTTAACTTGATGGCAACCACAACAAGGCGCTCCCTTTACCTGGGATAATTGCACTGCCTGCTGGAATCTTACCTCCTCTGCTGAACCTTTCCTATTTCTCAAACTGGACTGTGTCACTTCTTTTGAGTCTAACTCACATTCTGTATCTCTCTCTTATGACCCCACTCTTATCAGATAAGGCTACAAGTTCCTGGAAGCTCATTCATGGCTTCCCTTTGCACCCTTGGTAGTAACCAGTATGGATCTTGTGTATAGTCAGTAAATACCTGATGGACAAAGAATTAATTCAACTGGTCAAATGGGGACATGGTCTTTGTTAAAAAGTATCTTTTGATGATGGCTAAAACATGGCTATTCTTACAGGAAACATGGCATATAAGTCTGAAATCAGACAGACTGGAGTAAAAGACTTCACTGTCACTTACCAGCACTGGGACCTGAACAAATGACATAACTTGCTAAGCCTCTTTCCCTCAACTGCAGATCAGAGTGTTGTGAAGAAGAAATGGCATAACAGAAGCCCAGGAGAGGAGACAGGTACATAGGTCAGCTGCTAACCATGACTGAGACTTAGGGGCTGTACTCCTGGGATCATGAACTTCCCTGGGCCTTTGTGTGTTCAGACAGGAACAGCTGGAGAGGAGAGAGGTATGTGGATTGGCTGCCAGCACCTATTGAGACTTGGGGAGCAAAATATCCTGGGCAGCACTCTTGGGACATTTCCTACTCCTAGGACTTCCTACTCCTAGAATATTGTCTACTCCCTCCCATCAAACTACAGGTCAAGACAGAGAAGCAGGCCTACCACAGCTGAGCAGGGGGAGAGAGTTCTGCTTCCAACCTATCAAAGGACAACCAAACGAGAAGCTTACCAGAGGAAATAGGGAACAGAGCTGCCCATAGATGACCAGTGGGGAATATTGCCTGGGAAACTGAATCAGGGGCAAAATTTAAAATCTACAACTCTATCAGTAGCATCATAAAGATAAACCACAACCTACACAGACAATAGAAATTGCATCACATATACCAGGAAGAATTTCACATAATGTCAAGATAGCAGCAGGCAGGATTAAAGAGTATGAAAAAACAAAACAAGTCTTCTACTAAAGAAGCAGACCAGATCACAGACCCAGTGAATACCCTAGAGACAGGGAGATAGAAGAAATATATCAACATGGAGTTATGCAAACTGGTACTGAAGTTACAAATGATGAAACAAGAGTTGAAATCATAAACAAAGTTGTTAAGAATTAAAAATCATCATAAGACAGAAAGGGTACAACCAATAAAATTGTTGTTGTGTTTGTTGTTGATTGCTGTCGAGTTAAACATGACTCATAGTGGCCCTATGAACCAAAGGCCTGAAACCTTTCTATAACCATCATCATGGATGATGACACTCTAGCTTCCAAACCAATCTTAATTGGAGCTCCACCACTGTCCACCATGGGCAGCCATTATAGCATTTGACCCCCAAAGACGCAAGGTTCATCTTCACAGCAAACCCAGATTACTTCAGTACAGCAAACTGACAGAAGAGTGCTGTACAACTTAGAAGGACGTTCCTCCAAATAATAACAATTTAAATACAAGGTCAGTTGGTTGGTCTCTCTCTCTCTCTCTCTCTCTCTCTGTGTATACATATATACAAAAGATGAACAAAAGGCCTAAAGCCTGAGTCACAGGCGACTCGACGGCACATAACAACAACAACATCATTTCTCCCAGTTCATAGACTTTCCAGAGTCATAGGAAGTGGGTGCCATTCCTGCTTCCAAAACCAATGCAATACAAGGTGGGGGAGGGGAAATGCATGAAAATGTACTACAGATTATCAGGACTGATATTGCTGAAATTTTTAACATGCTGGAGGGATAAAAAAAGCAATATAAAGAGATGGAACTAAGAATCGTTAAGCTAGTAAATAAAAACCTCACTGAGAACTTGCTAGAAGAATAAATAGAAAATGGAAGGAAAATAAACAAAATAATAGAATCATGTAAGATAACATCAAACAAAACAACATAAACGTGATCAGAATTCCAGAACAGGAGAGTGGGGCAAAGCACAGATACAATTCTGGAGGAAGCACTAGAAGAAAACTTCCCAGTTATCACGAAAAACAAGGAAATTCACACTCAAGAAGCTCAGTAAACTCCAAATGGACTAGACTCCAAAAGAAAACATTAAACCATCTCATAGTCAAAGTCTCCAAATTCAAAGACAAAGATTGAGAAAAAGCAGAGCAAGAAAAACAGTCCTCTACAAAGGAAAACCAATTAGATTAAGTTCTGATTTCTAAACAGAAACCATCCAAGCAAGAAGACAATGATGGCATAGACAGAAGGCTGAAGAGAAACTATAGTCAGCCTGAGATCCTGTACCCATCAAAGCTGTCCATCAAATATGAAGGAAAAATTAGGTAATTTGTAGAAAAGCAGGAATTTGTGAAATAAGACCAACTCTACCATAAATACTAAGAGAAGTCCTTCGCACAAAGTGAATGGATCAAGATAACCAGTAACAATAAAAAGAAGAACATGCCAAAAAGGCAACAAGATAACCAGATCTGTCAATAATCATACTTAATATAAATGGCTTAAACACATAAATGAAGAGAAAACACATCAATTAAGAATAGCAGAATGGATCAAAAAACAAA